ATAGCTATGGTGTGATTGAAAACCTGTCAGAGGAAAAGAAGATTAAACATTCCTGATTTCTGAAAGACAATTTCCTTTAATTGTTCATCCTACCTTCATTTTTAACATTCCCCATAGTATTTCCTCTTGCTCTAAATTTCAGAAAAGGCTTTCTTTTTCTAATAAATCTTTTATAGTATTAGTAAACTATGAAGCTCGTCTTAATGATCAAATATTTATCACTGCTTTGCCAAACATTACTTACTTAACTGTGGTGTGACTCAGAAAGCAGATTTTTACTGTCACAAGCCATTCACCTAATAAAATGAAAGAATTTTCATTTTGTTCACCTATCAAGAAATGCATTCATGAAAAGTAAGCAGTAATTCCATCTGATTTGTGTACACAAGTGAAAAACCTAACTAAATAAGACAAAATGACATCTGTTGTAGTATACCATTCCATAGTCTTTTTCTTGACAAGTCTGATAGACCAGATCTGTTGTATGGCATTAGACTGTCAAAATTTTCACATAAAGTGCTTGAGATTTTTTTTTTTTTTTATTGGAATTGCACTGGAATCTATATTGTATTATCTTGGAAACTGTCTTTTTAAAAATATGGACATCCTACTAAAAATTTCATTCTGATCATCCTTTTCATCTAATTTTTGAGAGAGTTTTCAGATATGCTGGAGTATAAATACTTTCTAAATGTTTATCTGTCCATGCTGCACAAAATTAGGTATGTCAATATATGTGGGGATATTTTCATTAACAGTGTATTTTGATTATGGCCATGATATTCACACATATTGAAATGGCAGTAGGGAACAGTTTCTGCCAAAATAAATATAAAAAGAGTCCTAGAAGGGTACTTTGAATCCAGAATGCCATAAATCTAGCTAGATGTTTGTAACTCTGATAAGATGAAAACCATTTCAACAGTAAGACATATTTCATGTCTCAGTGAAATAAAAATGACAGATAAAAATCTCTGTCCACCACACTGAATGTCCACCCAAATCCACTGATGTACACATGCTGGCAGTAGCACTTATGAATAGTTTTGCTTGTCCTGAGAAATGTCACATTACAAGTTAAGACCATTAAATTCTGTGTGGCAGCTTAGGACGAATACAATTCTGCTCCTAAATAGTTCATGCACTTTAAAGATAAATCAGACCCCTGCTGCTCACACCAGCACACTAATGTTTGTGAAAGACAAGAGCCTCTCAGTATGAACAAATACAGATAAATTTGGGAATACTATTTGTCAATGCAACTTAAAATTTCAGTTTTCCTTAGGGAAGGGGTAAAATTAATATAGTTTCTTTCCATCTTTTAAACAGCAGGTATGTGCAAATATAACAGCACAGGAAAATTTTCTGTCACATGCTCATAGCTGGATGCAAAATTTACCGCTCCACTGTGGAGTTCTATCATTTACTATGAAAATGTTAAAATGATAAAATTTTACTGTTGGGATGAGCAACTGAGCTGTGCTTGGATGGTCCTTTCTTTCCGTCCCTCTCTACTTGGTCACTTTTTAAAGGAAATTAGAAAAAAAAAAGAAAAGTAGTTCTCTCAGAAGAAGACTGGTAATCCAAACTAAGGTAGTTACACTACCAAATGTCATACTACAGCATTTCAGGTCTCAGAAGGTTCAGGGTGCATTTCAGGAATCTGTCCAAGATTCTCCTTTTAGAAAATCTTAAAAATCTGGAAAAATTCAGTAGAAGCAAAAAATATATATTTTTTTCTGGTGTGATGTCTTAGATGCAGACCTATTTCTTTGCATTCATAGCAGGTACCTCATATTCAAATGTATATTCTGATAGAGTCATCAGCTGGAAGTAGACTGTTTAACCCTTTTAGTGGAGATTAAGTTCTGAAGCAAGTAAACAGCAGAAATCTGAAGTTTGAGCTTGATGTAGATTCAAGTGAATTATTAAAGACTACTCTCTGGCAATAGTATTTTTGTCATTTTTTTACATTATTAGTGGCTTTTAAAATGGATAGCTTGACGGGAGACAGGAACATTTTTCATCACTGCGCAAGGAAAAAAAAATCCTGAGTTTTTTTCATGCATCCGGAAAGCTGTAAAACTAACCAAGGACAAATATGAGGCTGCTGAAATATGAAACAATTAAAGGAAATCCCAGCCTAAATCATAATCTCCAGATGGAAAGTGTTGAAAAAATTTTCACTGCATGCTCATTCTACTCATTTTATTCATCTTCCCTTTTCAGTAAAATGTGTTTAGATTTGAACTCAAAGATTTTTGTGTATTTGCTCAGTAGAATACAGCATATATGTCTATGATTTCTCAAGAAGTTCTCAAGAAGAACTTGGTTCTTCTTGTTCAAGAAGAACATGGTTCTCAAGAAGAACCATGGAAAAATGAAATTTACTTTTCGGCAAGTTAATTTCAAATTCTGATACAATGTTATTTTTTTGTTTCTATTGTACTGGTAAGACCCTTCTGTCAGGCGCTCATTGAAAGTAAAAGCAAGAAGAATCTGCGTTTAGTTTTAAGGATTTGCTGGGAACATTTGAACATCATCTGTGTAAGTTTTGAACTAAAAAATGGTTTCAATTAAATTAATCTCTTCACACCCAATAAATAGCAAGCTTTCCGCTTCAAGTGTTTTGTTAAATAAAAAATTAAAGTATCTTGTCAAACAGGACTTCACTGGAGAGAAAAGAAAAGAGAAAAGATTCGTAAATACATAAAGACTAGGTCCTTCCCGCACAGCTGCGCACAGCTGAGGTCAGAGCAGCCACCACCACGCTGCTGCATTGCTGGCAGAGTAGCTTTTTGCAGGATTCACAGAGAGCCCTGCTACAGAGAGAAGATTCCTGAAGGATTCAAAAATCTCTCAGGACTGTCTTTGCTCTTCATTTCTTTATGCAAGGTCTGCAAGACAGAGCATGTACTTAGGGTGATTCCTCACTGGCTGAAATTGGCTTGTATATGCATGGTTTGGTTGCCTGCAATGTTTCTAATTCATGATGATACCCACTACATTACTTTCCCTGAGAATTCTTGTTTCTTCAGCCTTGAACAGATGTAAATTCAAAACATCTTTTATCATTTAACTGGTAGCTTCATGAAGTTTAAGGATGTAAGTATGTTTAAGGATTCAATTCTTCTTTTGAGGAAGATGTGTTGATGTCGTTGGAACTGCACTCAGTTATATCAGAAATGTATTTGAAAACTTGAGTTATATAGTACTTCACTTGCTGCAGCTTGCTGATAAGCATTGCAAAGATATAGTCCAGATAACTCGTTCAGTGGTCCAGCTTTTCTGATATACTGCTGCTAAGTTTCCCGTATCAGATGTTTATGATGAAAAAGACTCTTGGAATCTTTAAATAACTTCTCCAGGGAGAAAGTGGAGTGACTTCTCACTGCTGTTGACATTCCGACAGGACATGGTATTTCATATGCATTTTGATACTGTGGATGGTATAATTATCCTATGGATGGTATAATTATCCATATGGGTATGCATGTCCAGCCCATTTTTCAACTTGATTAATTCAACTTGTTTAATTCTGTTTAACAGTGATCATCTCAGTAGATGCGTTGATTAAACAGTACTTAATTTTCTCATTTTATAGTTTGCAATAATTCCATGTTGTTTAATGTCCATGCACTTACACCATGAAGCTAACTTCCATCATAGAATTCTTTAATATGTATAACCTTGTCATATGCTTTTGTTCTTTGCATTCCCACTAAATTAAATAATCCTGACATTTCTTATCAGGTTGTATTTTCCTCACAAAACTCTGGAAATTATGTCTTTTTCATTCAGTGTGTAAATTCACTACATTTAATCAGTGTGTAAATTCACTACATTCAGTGTATAAATCAGTATTTGAACATGTCATTTTAAGCATCAACTCTTATATCAACTATCAACTTATATCAACTCTTACATCAACTTCATCAGTCTTATATTATCACCTGTTTTAAATCTATTTAAAGCAAAAATTTAGACTCAACATTAAAATTTAGACTCAACATTAAAATTAAGCCACATCCAAATCTCAAGATTTCATGGTGAAATGTGGATGTAGCTGGTTCTGTTTCTTAATAATGGCCAAAACACAGCCTCATAGAACTCTTCAGAGAAAAGAGACTTCACATTCACAACAGAATCCTGCAGTTTATGAATATCTATTATCAGCAATATACTTAAGGCAAATATTTAAAATCAGATCTTATAAATTTTTTTCACATAAAAATCATATATATTATTGATTCTTATATATTCTCTATTAATTCTGTGTGCATATTATTAAAATCTTGGCTTTTTTGTGTGTGTTATTATTAGTATTTTTATATTTAGCAGCAGTACTTACAAATTCCAGCTGGAAATTAAAACTCCATTGTATAAAATGTATTGAAACAATCCACTCAAACCCTGTTTATGTTCCAGGCGACTCATAATTTAGAATGGGGTGTGGAAAGGAAAAGAAATGACAGAAGAAATTTGAAGTACACTCATTAAAAACACTAACATGATGTTATATGGTCAGGCCTAGCTAGTTCCTCATACTCGCTGAGGAACACCAGGGAATACTGAACAAAATGTATACCCTAAAATAATATACTAATTAAATGGTCTTTATTAAAAGCCTGGTTATGCATTTCTTATCAAAAATTTCTACCGAAAGCACATAGTTCTGAATGTTTAAGGAAGATCTTTACCCATTAAAGGAGAAAGAAAAAAGCCTTTTCATCTCTCTGTCTCTGAACACTTCGGTATTCTAAAAGTTTTAGACACGGAGGAGATTTGGTATTGTTCTAAGTCAGTCCTCTCTGACTAAGGAAATGACGAGAAGGAAACTATTCCTCCATCTCAGGAACCATGTGGCGTTCCAAGATAAGGCAAACACTTGCTAATTTGAGTCCAGAAGCAGGAAATGTGATACATCCATTTCCTCTCAGGCAAACAAAACAGTCCCCCAGCAGCACAAAAGCACTGCTTCTACTGCTAAATCTCAAACATTCAGAATCCATTGCTCCACTGTGGACATACCATTTTATATTTATCATTTGGATGTTATGGATAAAAACAGTACCTACTCTCCGATCACATGGCCACCAAAGTTTTGGGGTAAGGCTTTGTTTTTTTTTTCTAGAATGTCCTTAATGTGAAAACTTAAATTCACTGTGCTGGGCGCTGCAACCTTTGGAATAAATTTGCATTCTGTCAGAATGTAAAATTATTAATAATTTGTGGTGGTGCCTCACAATCAGCTTTTCCTTACCTTTTCCTCCAAGTGTGTTTTGATCATTACCCACTAAGGCCGTTTTCCTTCATCTAAACCTAGGAGTGGATCATTAACCAAAATGTATAGAGAGTGAGGTGGAAGTCTATGTAATATTTATATTAATTAAAAGTAGATTCAATGTCTTGATTCTAAAAGATTCTGTGGAATGATTGGGAAGATCCTTTCCCTCTGAAAGGCTCTATCACTTGATATGTTTAATATTATATGTGCATAATATGCTCTGTTTTGGGCTATTTTACAATTGGTAGAATTAAGGAATGACTGCCTCAAGAATCTGTGTACTATCTAAAGCTAAGAAATAATACACAGTAGCAAAATAGGACTTTTTGTTGCATAGAAGTGCCTTGGGAGAAAGAATGGAAAGTAACTATACAAGAAGATTAAATTTAAGTCCCTTCATTTCCTTAGTATAAGCAGCAAGAGTCTGTTGAAAGCCAGCCACATGTTTCCTGCACTGACATATATATTTTCCTACAGGGAAACCGTGAGCAGCTTGCCTCGTTTCTGTATCTTGGTCTATAAAGTGGGATAATAATACTGGACATCTTTGAGTAATAGGTAGAGATTAACTGAGGAAAAAAAGTATTGTTATTAGTGTTGCAGGGTATTGCTTTTTTTGTCTAAATACTGTCCAGTGGATGCTGAAGCAGAAAAAAACCATTGTTTTCATAGAGTGGATCTACATATAATTCTTAACTGGATCTTTCAGAGCAAAAATGAAAGAGTGCTATCATAAATGAACTTTAAGAATCCTTGTGGAAAATGTGCTACCTCTTATTAATGCAGATTTGATTTATTTTCTGAGATAAATCATTCTGTCACAGAAAAAAAATAGAGGGATGGCTAGATTATGATCAGCTTTAGGAATTCATTTAACCATACTGCTCAGGCTGTGGACAAGTTGTGTGCTGTCTTCATGAAGAGCCAAAGTAGCACCCAAGATATGCTTAAGGAATGGTCATTTTATTTCCATAGCATATTGCATGTCACTAGCTCTGTTCGTGTGGTTGTTAGCTTGTCATTTCATCTAAGGCATCTCTCCAGGTGTGTGCCAGGACCTTGCCTTTGAAATCAGTAACCATATTTGATAGCATAGGACATAATATGTGTGAGAAAGGGCCAGAGTTACCTCTCACTTGCCCTGTCTACATAGCTTGCCAGAGGATGATACACAGCTACAAATATCTCTGCTTGACTATGGAGCAGATCAGCCAGGTTTTTTGTGAAGAGTTTGCTTGGTCCTGGGAAGTAGAGATGCCTCCCAAGTTGTTCTTAGGTTTCTGAGAGGGATTAGAAGAGCTAGTGGCATTTCATATTCCTTCCTTCTGGCTTTAGCAAAAATGGTAGACTAAGGAGGGGACATCACATAGTCTATCATATGTTCAACATTAGAAAACACTTCTAATTTTTTTCAATCTACATAAGATCACTGTGGTGCAATATCTGTTACAATAGTAAAAATGTATTTTTTGATGTTCCTGGAAATACATGAATTAAAGTAGGAATAAAACTACATTATAATGGATATAAATTATAGTTCTTTATTAAATGAGAATGCAATATTTGAAACTAATTCTTGAGAAAACGCATTTTTCCAGGGTACAGTTTATAGCCTGCTCCAGTATTTTTCTAAGCCAGCCATTAGCAGCATTGTGAATTTGAACACATTACAATGATCTCTATCCTTCTCCATACATGTGTAACTTCTCAGTAACCCCAAGGACATGGCCAATGAGTCCAATTTCAGCAGGTGTGTTAAGGTTTGTTGATCAGCCACTGACTTTGTGAGAAAAAAAAATGCTGTAAAATGTGTTAGAATAACTATTCACAATGATCTCTAATCTCTTATAATTTTATAAACTATCTATTGTCTAAGTCTCCTCTGGAAAATATGCAGGCATCCTGTTTTCTAAAACTAAGCAGTTTCCAATGGTAACTTAACACAACAGGATCTTAAAAGTAACTCCAAGAATTTAATAACAATGAACAAACTAAACTGTCTTAATATGTCTTAATATGTGCCTACATAATTAATATGAGCCTGAATAATTCTTTTCTCAACTACTCCAGGGAGAGTATTATATTAGAAGTTCACATGAATAAAGCTGTGTAGATAAAAACAGCATTTATACACAGTTCAATTTATGTCATAGTATGTAATTACCTAAGTGGTTTAAATTCTCTCTTTGTTCATGTCAAAACCTTAACAAAACAAATAAATTTTCATAAAGCTAATCACATAGGGTCAAAGACAAGGCCTGAAGAATTAATAGTTCGCATTTTTCGTTGCAGATCCTGTGGGACAATGAGCTTATCCTGTACGTTGTCCTGATTCTTCTTTTGAATTCAGGTTTCATTGTCATCCTTCTGCAATCTTTCTAAAGTGTTTCATTATGCAACCAAAGTAAAATACTAGAGGTAAAACACTAGTTTCATTAGTCTGACATCAGTTCTGGGGTAAAAAATAATAAAAAAAGGAATGTTAGCCTTAAATTTTTGAGTTTCATGATAGAGCTTCTGCTTCTGACAGCAAGTCTCCTCTGTGAGAACAGCAAAGAAGCTTATCCTAGAGTTCACGCTGGAGTGAGGTGTTGTGGTCTCTGGAAATCTGGTTCTTGTTTTGCTACTAATAGCAGTTCCCTATGAAAGATGGATTAAGATATTCTTTTTAGATTCACATGCCTGTTTCAGACAAGCTGCCTGAGCTAAGATGAGGACACAGAAGTTCATCTATTCTAGGTACTGGCTTTTCTAAAGAGGCATAATCTCTGCTAACCCCTATTTTGCAATGGAAATGCATAGATGTCCTTTGGCAGAGGCAGGAAGAGTACCACCAAAAATCTGTCTGCTGGACTTCAGTACTCTTGTTACATAAGCCTGTGGACAGAGAATATTTATTAGTTCTATTATTGATGTTTTGGTTTCAAGGGGAATTTTTGTCTGGTTAAAATCTCAGCGAGAAATTCAGGGCTTTGTACCCATCCATCACCTACTAATCTCATTTTTTACTGTTTTAATATATACTTTATTGAGTTCATTTTGATTTGTAAGTTAGCAGTAAAAGTAAAGATGTATCCATTTTTTAACCAAGAGTACATTTCTTGTAATTCCTAAAAGCATTTTCGGTCACACACCATTAAATAAAATAAATGGCTTTGAGACAATCCTATTCCTCCAGTGTAGATTGGTATATACTTTAAAATTAGGAAATTTAATTTAAAGACTACATTTGATCCATATGACAGCAGCAGAAACAACAAGTGTAAGCAGATATTAATCAACACAAACTTGTATGCTTACACCATCCTTCAGTCTACTTTTACTCAAATATCTATTTGAAAAATGTAACAGAAAAAAATTAATAACTTTAAAACATTAAGTAGCACTTTTTTTTCCTTGAGTCAGAATCCATCAGAAATAAAAGTCAGAAATAGAACCCAGTATGTGGAAATAATACCATATATCATCTGACTTCCAGTATAATGGATAATTGTCTCCCACTAGTGCTTTGAGCACTGTCGTCTGACTTTTATAAGCCACAAATACCTCATAATTTCTAAACAAAATGCCAAATTTCACTTTGCCTTCCCTTCAGCTCTGATCTTTTCCATCATTAAAAAGTATTTGATACTTTAAATAAGTCAGTTTCCTTCTGGAAAAAAAAAGAGCTTTTGGTATAAGTATATTCTAATAGCAGGTACTGTGCTGTAAGGTCATGTTACCTGTCTAGAAGTTATGATGGTTAAGGAGTTCTCATATCCTTCTCTTCCTTTATGAACAGAAATACTACTAGTTAAGGGCAGCACTGACATGAGCTATGATAGAGCTCTCTAACACATGAAAGACCGATAGGCAACTATGGGATTCAAATCCTATTCTGCAAGCCCTTTATGGATTGCAATGCTGCCAGAGCCAAAGCAACAGTATCAAATCTAGATCAGTTCCCTGGAGAAAAAAAAAATGGCTAATTCTGTAGTGACCAGATTAAATTTACTAGTTTCCACCCTGACTGCTATGACAGTGCATTTCATGTGCACTCTCTTGGTGCTCCCTTTGCTCCCTTTTCCTCATCTAGACATGGTAGTTCTTTATACCCATCCAGTCTATCATTAGCAGCACTAAATACTTTTGAGTTGACTTGCTAGACCTGCTATCCAAAAGCTAGACCTTGAGGCCACCTGTGGAGTGCTTTAGAGCAAATGTGGTAGCTTCAACCAGATCATTCTCTTCCCTAGCTTGTTGTTTGACAGTGATCCCTGGTATAAACCAGAGAACCCAAAATGGTCTTTAGTGTCTGGGCATTGCTAATACAGCAGAAGACTTCAGGATGAGAACACAATTGCTTTGCAGACAAATGGAAAGCAGTGAAGGCATGACATAAGAGCTCTTACAGATGCTTTATATTGCTGTACATTCTTAGAGACAATCTTCAGGGTTAGGGTGTTTTTCCATTGCTGAAGTGGAACCAAAAGATCCTATCTATTAGGACCTTGGAATTACCTTAGGACTTTGGAATTCAGGTACAGTGTCACTTTCAAGGCTTTATTTCCTGAATTGCTATTTTTCTTCTCCTCTTCTGTTCTCTTTTCACATTTCTACCCTAAAATGCAATGGTATTTTAATTTGCAGATATCAGCCACGATAGAGATAGGTGATGGGAGGCAGGTTGTTAACCGCATCTACTGGAACCTTTTCTGGTGGGGCTTTTTTTTTTTTTTGTCCCCCTTGCTTCTCTATATTTTGGAAAACCCCACTGATCTGTACAGTGCAAATACTTGGAAGTTTATCACACATTATAAAGAACTCATAAGGGGTAAATGCC